TATCTACTCTCTTGATATTTTCGCTATCATTACTACACTTATTATATTTACATTGGAAATCATGTGATTCGTACTCTTATAACAGCACGATAAATCCATGACAATCTCGTGCACGTGTTATATGATAGTTATTACATATTAATTATTGTATAAATTAAAATATAGCTGTAATATTATAGTTATTAGTTTACGCTATATTTTATTATCACGATATTGGCAAATTGATTTATTGAAAATGGGTATATCTAGGAATACTAAAAAAGCTATGAGTTTGTCAAAGAGAAGAAGTAACGAAACTTCATTAAATGTATTGGCTCGTTTAAGAGGTCTACAAAAAGAATAACAAAAAAAAAAAAATAACTATTTAACAAAAAAAAACTCGACTTTGGTAAAATACATATAAAAAAAAAAATAAATGAAAAAATTTGGAATAGATAAAACTACCTACATATAATAAACTAAACAGAAAAAATGAATTCATGATTATTCTAAGTATTAATAAATTAACATTAAATTTTGTTGTAAATTATAATAATTTTATTATTTATTTTTTTTTCTTTATTTGAAATATACCATCTATACCTAAGAGGCACAATGAGTACATGTGGTAGAAAGTGAAATTACATCTATATAATACATTAATATAACTAAAAAGAAGAGAACTAACATAAACATATATATTTACACGAAACATGAGATGTGAGAAGCCACCCATCAATGATACTCACTTGACTCACTAATGAGTATTTAATTTTAATAACTAAAATTTAAAAGCATTTACATTTCAATGTTTTTTAATGATAACCTGCTATGTCTTTCAAGAATAGTGTACCCTGATTTTGAAAACGTCCGTTCACACGGAACAGAAGTCGATCACATATTTCGAATAAATTTGGATGTATGTTCTTTCTGTTTTTCCACCAAATAAGAGAATCCCAATGTCTGTTTATTTATGGCTCATTTAAATAACGGTCGAGGTCGACAATAGGTTCTGATGTTGGTGTATTTAATGTTAGTGTTGACGCCTAAATATAATTAAAATAAAATAATTTAAACTACAAAAATGAATTAATTTATTAAATACAATTTTTTTTTAAAATCTACTACACAAAAAAAATACCTATGCATCAAAATTTCAGAATTTTAATTTTCTATTTTAATCGTATTATTATTGAATGTCTTCTTGAGTTCGTCATTATTTTAATTATTTTTAACTATTGCTTCAACTTTTTGTATACGCTGGTAAATAATCGGCAATCGGCATTCAGCAGGTTGTTAACATTACACATATCATTTTGAGACTGACACACTATTCGTTTCACTTATGCGTTTTTAAATTTAATAGCATAAATTACCGATCAATTCATATAGTGTATTTAGTGAAACCCGTCTATTTGGGAAATGGATTGTAAATAATATATAAATATAGTGTTTCCGCCAAATAATGTATTTAAAATACGTATTATATAACAATTACCTCATTAATGTGTTTACTATACAGTATACAGTATATATCTGAGGTGCTCAACTTACGGCATATACGAAGTTATTAAATGACACACTGGCGTCAGATAAAATAACTTATAATATTTATAATTTTTAAATATTTCTAAAATTATGTTTTTCAAGCAATTAATTATTTCATAAAAGTTGTTAATATTATATTTTATACAAAAGTATGCGACATTGAATATCCTTAAAATAATTTTCTCCTCAAAGGATTCATGATATTTTGTTGTAATTTATATATGAATAACCGAAGATAATATTGAATGTTTTTTTTTATAATATGCTCATTTTATGTACATAATGACATTCAAAAAATATTTTGACTCATTTAAGTTATATATATAACTATTCTTAATGTATAAATATAAAACTAAAAAATAAAAATAAAATTGAAAATGTCTATACTTGGCATGAGATATATAATGTATTTTGATAAAAATCTTAACTTGGAGATTATTAAAAAGCACTTATTTTTGTCTTATATAAGATGTCAATATACACACTATTACTTTCGTTGTACTCTATACGAGTCGTATTGGAGGTATACATTTAGGTTACGAGCCATGTAAGAAAAAAATAATACACAAAGTATCGGCGATTATTATGTTCCTGTGAGATCAGCTTTAGCTGATACAGAATTTTTATTGTCGAATACTTGAATCGTTTGAGAATTATTTACGTATATTAATTAAACCTTTTTCAATGGTTGCTGTTTGGGAATATGCAAACAATGAAAGAAAGCCGTTTGGGTTACAACGAATATTTGAAATTCAATATCATGTATTTTAATTCATTAAAAAAAATTCATGTTATTATTATTATAACTGCTCGTAAAATCGTTTAAAAATATTATTTTGTCACTATATAGAATGATTAAAGTTCTCCGTAAAGAATAAATTATAATATAATTATTTTTGTAAAATGCTTTATTAATGCGATATAAATTTCTCACATTGAGCCATTACAACATATTTATTTTTTTCATTCTACTTAATTAATTTGTCCATCCTTTAAATTTTATCTTTTTTATTTATTATTTGGAATGCATAAGCTTCGTTTATACTACTATAAAATACTAATATTTATGATACTACTAAGTTTTATATCGACTTCAGATTAATACTCTAATTAATGTTCTGCTTTAATTTTTTTACTAACAGAACAATAGAAAATAGAATTTATAGTCTGTGAACAAATAACCCTTATATGTATAAATTTATATATATATAAAAGAACGGCCCTGTTTTATGTTTCCGTTTTGTGACGATACTATTTTTAAATTTTCAAATTTTTTTTCGATAAGTTGTACCAAATACTCCTACGAGTGATCAATATATTTTTGTTTTATTTAAATTCAACTACTACTACTACTATTTAGCACTTGATTAAATTAAGTAAAATTTTGAGAAAGCACAAACAACACACAGGCAAAGCCAAGTAATTCAACCAGTATAACATATAAATATGCCACAAAATTCCGGGCTCAATAAAAAAGATAAAAAAAAAAAAAAAACAGAAAACAAGTAAGTACAATGTAAATTGTACGAGTACATATGTATAATACATGATTATCATTAAAATTGTATTCAAAATGATTAAACAGAAGAAAATTCAAATTATTAAGAACAATTTAAGTGCTTAATATGTTAAATTAATATTTATAGCTAAGCCAGCTAAGAAGTACATTGAAATTTGGATAAAAATCAATTTTATCATTACAAAGGTTGCCTACATTTAAGTATAAGAAGAAAAGTTTTTTAATTATGAATGTTTGTAAAATAATTTTAAACTATAAATTTTTTATATATTTTCATTAAAAACACTATAAAAAATGCAAATTGACTTTGCAGTAGAAATTTTATTCTATAATAAAAAATTTATAAGGAAATATGTATTAAATTTTCAAATCTTAGATTATAAAAATAAATAAGGTTGGTAGGTGAGTACCGCTCTGCTATACATCAGGTGTTAAGTGGGTTACTGTAATGGATGTATTAAATTTAAATTTGATGATATTATATCATTGAACATAAAATCAATTATAATCGGAGATGATTTAATAGCCTAACACACAAGGTATATTTTGTATTATACATAATGTTAGTTATTGATTGTACTTTTTTGTATGACCATAAGTGTTTGATATAATTTTATTCTGAAAATATTACATTAATTATATTGTTAGTGTTTAATATTATTATGATAACAAATTGATAAGTATTCAACAATTCTATCATAATATTTTCATCAAATTATATAACTTAAAATGTAATAGTATCTTTTTGTAAATATTAACCGTAATGTAGTAAAAATAGATTCATAGTTTAAACATAAATAATATCTTGAAAAAATGGTGTTTAATTGCACTTTTCATGACAAGTACACAACCCAATCCAATAACAATGAGCCAATATTATTTGTCTCTACTGTATAGAATACGAACATATTACCGCAATAAACTTGTTTGTCTATTCTGATTTGAATTTAACTATCCTTTAGTTGTTTTTTTCCAACACATTTAATTATATGGGAGGAACCTGAAATTAAATATATAAAAACTTCCCCACTTACTGTTTTGGCAGACACAATATGATACATGGTTTTTTCTAAACAACATAAATTCATAACTAGGGCTAGAATAGTATAGGATTTTGCATTTTTTTTTAGGATTTACAGGATATAGCTTTTCAAGTACAAAATGTGATTTGTTCATCTACGAGTTCAAATATATAGTTTTTAGTTTACTTATTTTGGCATTTTTTGTACTTTTTTGAATTTAGGGTCATTTTTTTAATTTTACGGTGATTTTTTTATACTTTATCGAAATCTGGGTTATATTTAAACTTGAAAGAATCACTAATTGTCCAGTGCAACAGTAAATAATTGAAAGGTATTTTTGAGTATACATATATTAAGTATCTATAATCATTTTAGTATTACAATATTATTTTAGGTATCTCAAAATATATTAATTTCAGAACAAATGACGTTAGCCATTATACCAGAAGATGAATTTATTTGTATTCTTATAAATATTAATAATTATTTATTAATTTATTAATATAATTATTTTTTTTGTGATCATTTTTAGTTTTTATTAGGTCATTTTTTTAAGTTTTTTAGGTCATTAAAATCCTAGCCCTACTCATAACCATATTGAACAGTGTATTATATGTAATTATTTATATTGTTTCTTGTGAAAATTAACAATAAATTTACAGCATATTAGTTTAGAATATCTCTACCACCTCTTACATACCTTATGTAGCATCAACGTTACAAGACTTGCGACAGTAGAGAATAATTAAATACCTCAAATTAATGGAAAAATATTAGATGACAAGAAGATGAATTTAAAATGCATATGCTTCAAAATAATACAAAACAAATTGTTTTTTCATTTGTGTACATTATAATAAATTGACTTATGAATAAACAGGTAAACAAAATTGCATCTGATAGGATTTATAATTATAATAATAAATAACAGTATTAAAAGCTAAGTAAATAATAAACAATAAGATAAAATTTTATTATATTTGGGTATCACGATTGCGTAGCGTTTCAAGGCATCTGTTTCATTTTCATAGCAATGGTACTGCGTATGTTCATGATCTGTATGAATAATAATAATAATAATAATATATAAAATTGCATTTAATATGTTAATAATATTATTAGTCCTATAATTTAAAATTAACAATAGGATTACACAATGTGTTTTAATTTAAAAATTGATGTATTCTCATTCTTTAACTATAGGCAATATAAGTTATAATATAAATACAAGACGATATTATAATACATGAATGGAAATGGAATAATTAAAATTCCTATTGAGCTTTGTTTTAAGTTTTTGTCCTATCCAAAATTAATTTAAATTAAATCACTGTCATATACTATAAGCTACTGATCTATTCCATATACTTGTGTTACACAAGAAAATCATGTATGATACAAGTTAAAAAAATTATAGTAACTTTATAACTGGAAAGTGGTTTTCAAGTCTAAACGAAATTGCGTGTCACTAATAAATTATTAGATAATATCATGAAACGTTTGATTGAAATTTTCGATTGTGACAAAACGTTGATATGAGTTAATAATTTCTCCTAATATATAAATTGATATACGGTTTTTTGAAAATGTTTATTTAATATATAGATGTATTAAAGTTGATATAGAACTCACCCAATTATTTATCGGCGGAATTAAAACTGTCTTTAACCGTTGATTCCGATACCACTGAGTCACTTGTCTTTCAGTGATGCCCAGTTTATTTGCTAAGCGTTGTCTCTGTAGATTACCCAAATACGAAGTTTCCTGAAATGATTTTTCTAAGACGGAAAGTTGTTTTTCCGTGAACACTATTTTTGGCTTCTTGGTATCTAAATATAAGAGTTTAAAAAATATTTAAATTTATGTATTTGGATACATATAATATACAAGTATACTGAAATATAATTGTATCTGGTTCAAATTACAGATTCAGTCATATAGTTACATTTAGTATTAACATTAATTAATTTTTTATTTATTTGTTCAATAAAATAATAAATGATAAATATTTGTTTTCACGAAAAAAATAATTTTATTACTACGTAATATATGAGTTTTGCATTAATAAAAAAATATTAAAACATTAATTATAACTTATAAGATATTACAAAATTTAACAAACTAATAATTAAAACGTATCATGGTTAGAATAAATTATTTAATATAATTATAAAATTAAACACCCGTTTTCAAGCTACATTACATATTACATTGAGTCAAAATAGTGAAAGCACATGTTCAAATGTACAATATATGACATTAATGATATCCTTTAAATTATAAAAATAAAATAAATATATTAAATATAACTTCTATATTATACTAAATAATTGTTGAAACTAATTGTAATTACAAAGTTTAAATGAAAAAAAAAAAAGTACTTTGACTCATGTAATAATTTTTATTAGCATTAATTAATAAAAAAAATTATTTAAAAATCGAAAATTTCGTATGTCGATAAATACCTCAGAAAAATACAAAACTTTAAACATGATACGATGAATGTGAAATGATAATTTAAACATTTGGTGAAAAATTCAAGTATCTACAGTGATTCGTTTCGGTATTACAACAAAACAAAAATTATTTGAAGAGAAATATTTATTAATAGGTATTAGCATTATTTAGTGAACAATATGCAATATTTTACACAATTTACGCTATTATTGAACAAACTATTCTTTATTGTTATATATATATATAGGCGAGCTAATGAAAAATGTTGTATTTAATTTCAATAATTTCTAACTTTGAATGTTTATAAATTAAGTTTGTATCTAAATTTTTAGTATTTTTTAAATTAAAAAACGCTTATGATAATAAAATTATACTTTATTTTTCAATAGATAGTTTAATGAACTTATAAAGAGCTATGTATTAAACTTACAAATAATAGATTTAGAAAAAGAAAAAAGGTAGATAAATGGGTACTAAATTGCTGTACATTAGGCGCCGCGTGAATCACTGTAATAGATATATTAAATTTAAATTCAATATAGCTAATTTTATATGCATAATAATTTTAAGCGGAGACGATCTGTCCATTTATATTACTAAATATATTAGATGATACAGCTAATCATTTATTTTACTTTTATTACTTATATTACCGTAAGTGGTTGATATAATTTCATAAATCATAAATTAATTTATGTTTTTATTAATTTCTAACTACAAGTTTTCTTGTTAAAATTCAATCTTAAAATGTACATAAAATAAATTGTGGTTTTGTGTTTTAAATATTTACAAGCAAGTATGAGAATAACTCATGTGGTATCCTATGTTAAATTTTCAAAAATGTTAACACAGTGAATAATTTTAAAACATGTTTCAAGAAAACCTCAGTTAAAATTATTTTCAAATTTTGATACAAAAATAATATAGTGATTTTGAACTTACTCGATGACTTTTTAGTAGTCTTGATGGTTGGGGCGAGCGTGTGGGATGGTTGCTGTGTTTCAGACGTCATGACTTCGTACGATGTACGCCAAGCATGTCGGTAACGCGGTATCAGATGCTGTTGCTTTTGTAATTTCCAGTACCTATACATCATTTTGTTCCACGTATTCACTTGCTCCTGCATTTGTATTCGCTGATAGTCCGTCCAAATGTTCTTCAATTGCAAACAGTGCCCACGGTGATCAGCGTATATACGATTCTCAGCCAACACCGTACTGTCAACGTAATCTGACGTCGAAGTACAAGCCACAATGCCGCTGAAGTCTAGAAAAAATTATAATATATAAATATATGTATACATTCAAATTAATATCCTTGCTCACTATGAACACTATACAACATTTAATTTGAAATCTACATCTGCATTTACGCTAAAAATACTTTATCGACTAAAATGAAGTCTAGAAAAATTATATAAATATATATATATGTATTATGTATATATATATACATTCAAATTTAATATCCATGCCAACTATGAACACTATACAACGTTTAATTTGAAACCTACAACTGCATTTACACTAAAAATACTTTATCTACTAAAATTATGATTTTAGATAAAGTACCATATAAAATCGCAACGTGGATATTAAACCGGTTTTCTATTCAATTTTTACAATTAAACCGAAATATATGCCTAAAATTATATCACGTGCGATTTTTCTTACACATATTTATAAGAATAAATGTTAGCTGCTGAAAACACCGTAATACACGTTTATGTTTAAAAAGCAATCAGAATTCATGTCAAAAATATAAAATGTTATAATTTTTAATATCTTATATTTTAAGTGTACTATACATCATACAGACTAAACTTAAATTAAAATATCGATCTTAACTTATTGTAAAAATATTTTACAAATTGTGTAACAAAATTAATGTTAAAATAAAAATTAAGAATATGTTCAATAAATTTGAACGTAATCAGTTATAAAATTTAAAACTATAAATTACATATTTATTATACATACCGTTAATTCGGCAGTTGTTTTCGCAATAGTTTAAACTACCGTTGATATCCATTACTGCCTAATTATGTGTAAAATAGATTCTTCAGTGAAACTCAGCTAATTGATGAAGATTTGTTAAAATAATAATATTCCTCGAGGATACTATCAGGAGCTGATGCTGCGTCTGCGATGTCCACGTTCTTCGTGAATTGAACTTAAGAGAGTGAGTGAACGTCCGATTATTAAAATATACATTTGCCCGAGGCGTGACCGGGATGCGAATATTTTACTACCTACCCTTTCATATCGTATACAACAAAGATCATTTTTTGTTGATCGCAAAATCATCCTTTCATTCTTTTGTTGACTGGTGTTGGGTGTAGGAGGTGGGCTATAGCCAACAGCTCGCTCTGTACGCATTTAGTGCGTGTCACCGCACCTGATTTTTCAATCTTAAGGTCACTTACAATGAAAATATAAATTTGATCGTCATAGCAATACGTAACTGAACGAAGGCTACCGCA